CAAATTCTCAATTAGTGGGCCACACTTACGCATTAATTTCCAATTTTTCTCATGGGTTTTCTACCCATGAAAATTCCAATGGGATTAAATTCAAATCTCTTAAACACAAATTCTTAATTAGTGGGCACACTTACCCATTAATTTCCAATTTTTCCCATAAGTTATCTACCTATGAAAATCTCCAAATTGTCCTAAAGACACAAATTCTCAATTAGTGGGCCACACTTACCCATTAATTTCCAAATCAATTTGAAACTACGTCGGTTTGATCCCGTCAAGGGTACGTAAGCAGTCTAGCATCCCACTAGACACAACCGCAACCAAATTTGAATCCTTGGTTTATTTTAACCAAATTCGCCAGAATACTTTTCCAAGTGCAAATGTCAATTTTAGAAAATTAGTGGCTTAATTGAAATTTCTCACTATTTTTCTTGGACATTGACAATAGGAAAAATGGTACAAAACCATCCAACTTTTTCCATGAGTCATCTACCCATGCAAATTTCAATGAGATGAAATTCAAATCTCTCAAATACAAATTCTCAATTAGTGGGCCACATTTACCTATTAATTTCCAAATCATTTTGGAAATACGTCGGTTTGATCCCGTCAAGGGTACGTAGGCAGTCTAACATCCTAATAGACGCAACCGCAACCCATTTCAAATCCCTGGTTTTATCCTAACCAAATTCGTCCAAACACTTTCCCAAATGCAAATGTCAATTGTAGAGAATCAGTGAGTTGATCAAAATTGCTCATTATTTTTCTTGGACATTGACAATATGGAAAATGGTACAAAGCCATCCAATTTTTATCACGGGTCATCTACCCATGAAAACTCCAATGAGATTAAATTTCAAATCTCTCAAACACAAATTCTTAATTAGTGGGCCACACTTACCCATTAATTTCTGATTTTTTTCACATGGGTCATCTACCCATGAAAATTCCAATGAGATTAAATTCAAATATCTCAAACACAAATTCTCAATTAGTGGGCCACACTTACCCACTAATTTCCAATTTTTCTCATGGGTCATCTACCTATGAAAATCCCCAAAATGTCCTAAAGACACGAATTCTCAATTAATGGGCCACACTTACCCATTAATTCCCAAATTTGGAACTACATATGTTTGATCCCGTCAAGGATACGTAGGCACTCTAGCATCCCACTAGACGCAACCGTAACCAAATTTGAATCCTTGGTTTATTCTAACCAAATTCGCCAGAATACTTTTCCAAGTGCAAATGTCAATTTTAAAAAATTAGTGGCTTAATTGAAATTTCTCATTATTTTTCTTGGACATTGACAATAGGAAAATGGTACAAAACCATCCAACTTTTTCCATGGCTCATCTACCCATGCAAATTTCAATGACATGAAATTCAAATCTCTCAAATACTAATTCTCAATTAATGGGCCACACTTACCCATTAATTTCCAAATCATTTTGGAACTATGTCGGTTTGATCCCGTCAAGTGTACGAAAGCAGTCTAACATTCCAATAGACGCAACCGCAACCAAATTTAAATCCTTGGTTTATCCTAACCAATTTCGCCAAGAATACTTTCCCAAATGCAAATGTTAATGGTAGAAAATTAGTGAGTTCATCAAAATTGCTCATTATTTTTCTCGGACATTGACAAAAAGAGAAATGGTACAACACCATCCAACTTTTTCCATGTGTCATCTATCCATGCAAATTTCAATGAGATGAAATTCAATCTCTCAAATACAAATTCTCAATTAGTGGGCCACACTTACGCATTAATTTCCAATTTTTCTCATGGGTCATCTACCCATGAAAATTCCAATGGGATTAAATTCAAATCTCTTAAACACAAATTCTTAATTAGTGGGCACGCTTACCTATTAATTTTCAATTTTTCCCATAAGTCATCTACCTATGAAAATCTTCAAATTGTCCCAAAGACACAAATTCTCAATTAGTGGGCCACACTTACCCATTAATTTCCAAATCAATTTGGAACTATGTCAGTTTGATCCCGTCAAGGGTACGTAGGCAGTCTAGCATCCCACTAGACGCAACCGCAACCAAATTTGAATCCTTGGTTTATTTTAACCAAATTCGCCAGAATACTTTTTCAAGTGCAAATGTCAATTTTAGAAACTTAGTGGCTTAATTGAAATTTCTCACTATTTTTCTTGGACATTGACAATAGGAAAAATGGTACAAAACCATCCAACTTTTTACATGGGTCATCTACCCATGCAAATTTCAATGAGATGAAATTCAAATCTCTCAAATACAAATTCTCAATTATTGGGCCACACTTACCTATTAATTTCCAAATCATTTTGGAACTACGCTGATTTGATCCCATCAAGGGTATGTAGGCAGTCTTGTATCCCAATAGACGCAACTGCAACCAAATTCCCATCAATCGAACCTTTTCAAATCAATTCTGAACTACGTTGATTTGATCCCCTTGAAAGGGTACGTGGGCAATTTAGAGATTCAATCTAGATGCAACCATCCCAAACACATTTCCATATCGAATCCCTGGTTTATTAAGCTAAATTCACTCAAACACTCCTTAATCAAATCCATTCAAATTCCTCCCTTTGCAATGAGTCATCTATTCATTGCGAATCTTTGAACTACGAGTGGCTTGATTCCCACAAAGGATACGTAGGCATCATGAGATTGGACTTGGGAACAGCTGCAAAACCAAACACACGCGTTCTGTTTCTTTATGATGGAGTCAAAGGGTTTTCTCTTGTAGCAAGGGATTGTAATTAAGAGACTTGCGTCTCGAATGGGTCGAACCAAAAATAATAAAACCCCATTAATTAATTAATGATGGTGAAATTATGTTGGAAGATTCACATTTTCCTTCAACAGTGGTATTTTGCTAATGTTGTAAGAAATCTCAAATTCGAATCTCATAGATATTTTAAATACATTTTTTTTTTAAAGTAAGTTTATATGAAAGCAGGCGAAAACTTTGAATCATATTAGGTACGTACATGGCTTTCTAATTATACCAAGTTTCACTTTTTCAGCATATACAGCACATTTTAATAACTCAGCCTAATTAATTAGTTATGGATAAGAACAATAAATACAAGAGGCATCATATTTCAACCCATACCTAACTCAGTCTCAGTTATGAATACAATAGTCTCTCTTCTGTCTTCATTCATACATACACAAAATAACTATGACATTGAAAGCCCCATATCCACTAGTATTTTGCCTACTCAACCAATCTAGGGTCGGTTGCAGTCGATGCTGCTCCTTTCCTAGTGCTTGACATCACTGGCAACAAGCTCCAAACCGGAGTTAATTATTACATTTTTCTAGTCATCCGCGGGAGAGGTGGTGGGCTTACTCTGGCCAGCACTAACAACAAGACCAGTTGCCCACTTGAAGTTGTTCAAGAACAAAATGAGGTCTCCAATGGTCTTTAACTGAAAGTCTCGCCTGTGAACGTCACGAAAGGCGTTGTTCATGTATCAACTGATCTTAACATCAAGTTCTCTGCAACTACAATCTGTGTTCAATCTACGGTGTGGAAGTTGGGAAAATTTGATGAACAAACAGGACAGTGGTTTATCACGAGTGGCGGGGTTGAAGGCAATTCGGGTCGTCAAACCACAAGCAATTGGTTTAAGATTGAGAAATTTGGTGATGACTACAAGCTCGTTTTCTGCCCAACAGTGTGCAATTTCTGCAAAGTTATATGTAGAGATGTAGGCATTTTTTTTCAAGACGGGAAAAGGCGTCTTGCTCTCAGTGATGTGCCATTCAGAGCCATGTTCAAGAAAGCATGAACTGAAAAAATACGAATGTGCTAACATGCATTTTTGAAATTAATGTATGATTATGTTTTGCTTCAATAAAATATCATTCAAGTTACTTTCATTTTCATGTTGATTGTTTAAATATTGTGACTTTGTCAGCAAAATTTCCTCCAAACTTCAATGGGGAAGAACACAAGATCGGCTTTATCCGCTGTTTTGGGAACCACATATGACACAATTGTTAGCTTTTGAACGGCCTAAGTAAACATAAACTGATTCAGGAGACGGGTGTTTTTCCATGTTGCTACTCTTTGTGAAAAATTTCTTTCTGATTTTATATATTGGTAAATTTTTGTTTATCAAGAGGAGGGTTTGTATAGACAACCCTTTCTACCAAAATCATGACAAGCCTTTAATGTGGACTTTTGAGTCTGAGAAAGCATGCCTCAACAAACATCTAGATACTTTTTTGGATGCCTCCAAATCATGTGAGTGCTGCTGCTACTTGCCTCATCTCAACTCACCATTTTGTGTATCATCACAACTATGAACAGTGTCTTTAGTTGTTAAAGAATTGGAACATTTATTACGATATGCTTGACTTGTTTTCTCAACATGCCGCCTGGTTTTAAAATGTTCTAACACCACCATACATGTTTTGTTTTGGTTTTTTTAAAGCTTAATGTAGGAACTAATCATTTTCTAATTGAGTTCTTCGCCAAGTCAATATCTTCTTCTTTGCGATGGGCTTCTTTATGGGTATGCAATTCATGCTCAACTTCTGCCTCTTAAATTAAATGCCTAAATGCCCTATGCATTACATGTTAGTGTTTAATAAGCTTCTGATAAAAATGCAGGAATGAGTCTATTGAAGAAGAGAGTGAAGGAAATAAAATGCTCTGTAAAACTTTTGTATTTCGTTGGGTATATGGAGCTATTTCACTCACAGCTCATATTACTGTTAGAAGAGAAAGAGAGAGAGCTAGACAAATCCTAGCTTCAATCTCAACCATCCAACTACACTATTAGTAAGATTATGACACCTGTCCAGTCAAGTTCTATGAGAGTTAACAAACTATTTAACTATTATAGACAGCTTAGCCTATGAGCTAAGTATAACACTAAACCAGCAATTGCATACTAAATCAGTTTACCATTTTGCACATTAACACTCCCCTTCAAATTGTGAACTGATTTCACCCCAAGCAATTCTCTGAGATAAGAGAATTATTCTCTTGCCAAAGCCTTAGTGAAGATGTCAGCTACTTGCTCCTTTGTAGGACAATGAATCAAGTTGATTACACCCTGTTGTAGAGCTTCTTTGATGTAGTGATACCTCCGGTTTATGTGTTTGGTTTTCTGATGAAAGATCAGATTTTTGGAGATAGCAATGGCTGAGGTGCTATCATAGTTTAGGGGTGTTGCCATAGTCTGCATTTCACCAAAATCTTCTAACACAAACCGTAACCAAGTAGCTTGTGCAGTTGCCTTTGATGCACTCACATATTCTGCTTCAGCTGTAGATAGAGCAACACATTGTTGCTTCACAGATGCCCAAGAGAATACTCCACTACCGAATGTAAAAGCATATCCCGATGTACTCTTCATATCATCTTCTGATCCAAACCAGTCATTGTCATAAAAGCCTACCAAAACCGATCCTTCTCCTTTCTTATATTCCAGACCAAAGTCAAGTGTACCCTAAACATACCTTAGTACCCTCTTGGCAGTTCCATAATGTTTATTTGTGGGAGAATGCATAAATCTAGCCAACAGACAAGTAGCATACATTATATCCGGTCTAGTTGCAGTGAGGTAGAGTAGACTTCCCACTAGTTTTCTGTATTCAACTTCATTTGCAGCTCCACTTTCATCATCTCTCTTCAATTTATCAGCTGATACAAGAGGAATACCAACCGGTTTACAATCCTGCAGACCAAACCTTTTCAAAAGTGTGGAAGCATATTTCTTCTGGTGTATGAAAATGTAGTCTTCACTTTGGATAATTCCCATTCCTAGAAAGTGATGTAGCAAACCCAAATCTGTCATCTCATACCTCTGCATCATATCAGTCTTGAAATCTTGCATTAGCTCTTAAGAATTCCCTGTATAAACTATATCATTCGCATAGATAGATACTATGACCAGATTCGAGGTTCCCCTGCCTTTAACATATAATGTTGCCTCACTTGTGCTCCTTTTAAAACCACATTGCACGGGATAAGAGTCTATTTCTCCATACCAGGCTCTAGGAGCCTGTTTCAAGTCATACAAGGCTTTGTGCAATTTATACACTTTATCCTCTTCTCCTTGCACAATAAAACCATCGGGCTGCTCTACATACACCTCATCTTGAAGCACTCCATTCAGAAAAGCTGATTTCACATCTAATTGATACATTTTCCAACTATTCTTTGCAGCCAATGCAATGAGAGTTCGTATAGTATCCAACCTTGCCACTGGTGCAAAGGTTTCATTATAATCTATTCCGGCCTTTTGTGCATATCCCTTTGCAACTAGTCTAGCTTTACGCTTTTAAACCAAACCATCCAAGTTCAACTTAGTCTTGTACACCCATTTTACTCCAATTATAGGTTTGTTTAAAGGTCTATTTACCAATTCTCACGTCTGATTCTTCTCAATCATGTTCATCTCATTTTCCATTGCCTTCTTCCAAGCTTCATCCTTTGCAGCTTCATCAAAGTTCTCAAGCTCCACTATGCATGAATGGCAACTTGCATAGATCTCACTCAGATTTCTGTACCTCAAAGGTGTGTCATCAACCGAGGGATCATCTGCAGGTTCTTATTCTGTTTCAGGTTCTTTGAAAGCAGGTTCTTCTTCTGATTCAGTTGTTCTCATATCTGACATTTCATCCGCAGGAAGTGGAATGCAAATTTCTTTCACTTTGTGTTGCTCCCAGTCCCATTTGCCATGCTCATCAAAAACCACATCCCTTGAAAGCAAAATCTTCTAAGTTGCAGGATTCAATATTCTGTATCCCTTCTCACATGTACCATATCCAATAAAAACTCCTATGACACTTGTTGCTTCTAGCTTATGCCTTAACTTTCTAGGAATAAGTGAGTAACACACCGAGCAAAACACCTTGAGATGTTTAACTCCAGGCTTTCTCCCACTAAACTTCTCAAAATGTGTAGTATTCTCCAAAGCTCGGGTTGGACTTCTATTAAGTAAATACACAGAGGTATTCACTGCCTCACACCAAAGCGTGTAGGGAAGCTCCTTGTCATGAATCATGCACTTTGCCATTTCTACAATGGTTCTGTTTTTCCTCTCCACAATGCCATTTTGCTATGGAGAATAAGCTACTGTGAGCTGCCTTTCTATTCCCAGATTTTCACAAAACTGAAGAAAATCAGCTGAGAAGAATTCTCCTCCCCGATCAGTCCTCAACCTCTTCACATGGTATCCGGATTGAAGCTCCATCATTACTTCGAATTTCTTGAACACATGGAATGTCTCGAACTTGTTTCTCAGAAAATAAACCCAGCACATTCTTGAAAAATCATCTATGAATGTGATAAAATATTTATTTCCACCTAGGCTTGCTGTTTGCATTGGACCACACAAGTCTAAATGAATCAGTTTTAGTGGTTCCTTGGCTCTCCACTTTGATTCCTTAGGAAATGGCTCCCTGTGACCCTTCCCGAATACATAAACGTGGCACAACACTTCACCATTTTGGATTTCAGGCTGCCCCAATACCATTGCTTGGCTCTACAGCAGCTTGAGACTTCGAAAGTTTAAGTGCCCAAACCTCTTGTGCCATATCCTGGAGCATTCTTACACATTTGTTTTCAAGGCAACCTCCTTGATTGTGTTGAAAGTTAAAGGAAAACACCTGTTCCCCTTTTGCTTTACACTTACGACCATGTTACTTAAGGAACTATCATCGAAGATGTCAACCTTGTGATCTCCATATACAAGAAAATAGCCATGCTCTGTCATCTGTCCTACACTTAGCAAATTTTCAGCTAGACTAGGTACAAGCATAACCTCATTTATATACCTTTTACCCTTCATTGTTTTAATGATCAGTGTCCCTTTTCCTACCACTTCAACCAAAACTCCATTGCCTACTTGAACCTTTGCTTTCACTCCTCTGTCAATGTCTACAAGCAAGTCTTCCCTGGATTTCATATGATTGCTACATCCACTATCTATGTACCATTCATCACTCATCTTCTTTACTTCTCCAGAATGATTAGCAAAGAATAAGTTTCCAGTTTTTTCAACCTGATTAGCAAAGTTCACCTGCTGCACAGCCTTGTTTGTATGACAATATTTTGCAATATGCCCAATTTTGTTACACTTGTGACACTTGACCTTGTTCTTAAACCAACACTCTCCATAGTGCAATTTATCACAGAATTTGCATTTATTTCCAATGTTGTATGTCTCATTTTTCACAAAGGAATTAGATTTATTACCTCCATCACCCTTGTTGCCCCATTGCTGCCCGTGTGGTTTGGCATTCTTCTGAGACTTACTGGTGTGACCATTAGACCGTGCTGCCTTTGATCCAACGTTGAAGCTAGCAAAAGCCTTCTCTACACTATTGTCACCATGCCTATCAAGCCTCTGCTCATATTCTTTTAAAATAGCAACAACATCCTGAGCTTCCACAATTTGATCTGATACAGCCCCTTAGATGATACCCAGAGCTCTAACGTCCTTCACCAAGTTCTCACGCATCAGCTTCCTCTCTGCCACCGTGAGCTCCTCCGCCTCCTTCATCGGAGTTTTGTACCCATTCTCCACAAGATCCCACAGCTCGTGCGAACGGAAGATGGTTTTCATTTTGATTTGCCAGAAATTGAAATTTTCACCATTAAAAATGGTTGCCCTGAGTTCTCCTCCTCCAGATCTAGACATGTTAGTCTAGATTACTGATTTGAGAAGAATCACACAACAAGCTTTTGCTCACATATTCGAACCCACCTCACAGTCACAACGCCCAGAAATTCAGACCCAACCTAGCTCTGATACCATGTTAGTGTTTAATAAGCTTCTGATAAAAATGGAGGAATGGGTATATTGAAGAAGAGAGTGAAGAAAATAAAATGCTCTGTAAAACTTTTGTATTTCGTTGGGTATATGGAGCTGTTTCACTCATAGCTCATATTACTGTTAGAAGAGAGAGAGAGAGAGAGAGAGAGAGAGAGCTAGACAAATCCTAGCTTCAATCTCAACCATCCAACTGCACTATTAGTAAGATTATAACACTTGTCCAATCAAGTCCTATGAGACTTAACAAACCGTTTGACTATTATAGACAGCTTAGCCTATGAGCTAAGTATAACACTAAACCAGCAATTACATACTAAATCAGTTTACCATTTTGCCCATTAACATCACCCTTCTGTTTAAGAACACAGGCCCATTACAGACGGGTTTCATGTGAAAGTTTTCAATGACAAAGATTATATACAGTGAGGCTAGAATAAGGGTTTTTGTGAAGGGTTATAATGAGATCTTTAATAGCTGTTCGATCCAGTGTAGAATTATTATTGGACTGTTGGGTTGAATCCCCTCATTGTAACCTCTCAACATAGCCCCTCATTATAGAAGGTCCCAAGTATATATATGCATACTCATTTTGAAATGCAAATATATACTAAAATACCGGTTATTACACGAATATGTGTACAAGTTTTAGGTATGTGATTGTTATAGTTTTTGTGATGCAGCGTGACAATAGATTGGCTAAAACCTTAGCCTAGAACATGTAACTCTGAAATCCACTAGGAAGATATAAGGAAACCCCAAGGTTTATTTGATAAATTGGAATAACAAAACATAACCCTAGTCACGGGTAAAATTTGTTTAAATACTCCTAGAAACCCTAGAAATACAATGAATTAAAATAGGAAAATAACAAAGTTTCCAAAAACTGTAAAAACTTTAAAACTGGATTTTGGGTTGCTAAATGATCTCGGATGCCCGAAAATGCCCATACATCATGGCAAAGTGATGAGTTTTACTCGTGATATCATTCTCTTCGAATTGACGGATCATGGGCCCGATTCTTAGCTCAAAGCTCAAATATGCAGTTTGCCTATTTTGCCCTTGCTCACACGTCTGTCCAGCTCCTCTTCTATTGCTTCTGTCATCTGTTCTATATCATTTTGTCATCAATTAAGAATTGTATTTGATTCAATTGGCTCAACCTCTTCTTTTCTTTCTAACTTTCTCCACCGAGACATGGAATCATAGCCTTAAACGTCAGAATGAAAAAGAAAAAAAAACAGAAAAACAGAAAAGAAGACCATCACAAGGAAGAAGATATTGATTTATGTGGAAGAACTCATCAAAGAGAATGATCAGTTCCTACTTTAAGCTATTTTTGAAAGAAAACTGTGGTGTTAGTTTTTTAGCCATTGGATTGATATTTAAGTGAGGCAACATGTAGAGAAGACTAGTCAAATAAAACCTCACAGAGGATCCAAATCTTTTGCGAATCGTTATAATTAGCTCAATTCAATTCAATTATTATTATTTTTTTTTGGACTAGGATCTCACTTTTATCTCTCATAGGGGTTTAAGAGTTACAAATCACTAATTAATTGCTAAAATGTAATGAGCAGTGTTAAGTTGAGCACCTATACTATACATGAGCGTTTTTTGACCGTTGATCATGCGCAATTCACAGTATATGCAAAACCAGAATTCGAACAAGCCTGCGAGGAAAACCGCAGATTCATCGACCAAAAAGGGCACGTAATGTTTCCAGCTTCATATATATATCTTGTAGACATACATGAAGTCAAAGCCACCGCTATAATATATATATATATATATACATATATATATATGTATTAACATATCATGTGGTTTGAAATGAAAGCAGAGACGGAAACTTTGAATCATATTTGGGTATTGACATTTGACTTCACCTAAAATACAGATTGCTCGACTTTCGAATTGTACCAATTTTTACGTTTTCAGCAGACAGCTAACATTTCAATGGAATTAGCCTAAGCTATATATATTTTTGTTAGTTGTGGATAGGAACAAGTAAGTGTGAGGCTAAGACATCATCTTTCAACCCAAATGTAATCTAAATCTTTAGTTTCTATTATAAATAGAACCCCCTCTTTCATTTATACACAAAATAACAAAGAAAGTACTAATAACAATGTCATTGAGGCTAGCACTCTGCTTCCTTCTCCTTGCCTTCTCTGCCAAGCTGTGGTCGGTTGCAGCCAATGCTGCTCCATCCCCGGTGCTTGACATCACTGGCAAGAAGCTCCAAACGGGCACCAATTATTACATCTTACCAGTCATGCGTGGGAGGGGCGGGGGGCTCACTCTGGCCCGCACTAGCAACACAACCAGCTGCCCACTTGATGTTGTTCAAGAGCAGCATGAGGTGTCGAATGGTCTCCCGCTGACATTTTCGCCGGTGAACCTGAAGAAAGGCGTGGTTCGGGTCTCAACCGATCATAACATCAAGTTCTCTGCTGCCACAATCTGCGTTCAATCCACGACGTGGAAATTGGACAAGTTTGATAAGCAAACAGGACAGTGGTTTGTGACGAGTGGTGGGGTTGAGGGCAATCCGGGTCGTCAGACCACAAGCAATTGGTTTAAGATTGAGAAATATGATGAAGACTACAAGCTCGTTTTCTGCCCAACAGTTTGCAATTTCTGCAAAGTGATATGCAGAGATGTTGGGATTTTTATTCAAGATGGGAAAAGGCGCCTGGCTCTCACTGATGTGCCATTCAAAGTCATGTTCAAGAAAGCTTGAACTTAAAAATGTACTAATTATACACTTTTGAAATAAATGCATGATTATGCCTTACTCAATAAAGTTTCCCTTTCATTTTCACGTACGCATCTGGTTAAGATACAGATTTGCAGATTTCTGTCATATGGAAAGGGAAGTAATATGTTCTTCTCATCCCACCATATAAAATTAAGCTCATCCAGCATTTGTATAAGAATCAAAGAGCGAATAGGGTCCCAATAACCAGCAAAAAGTTATGTCATCCATGACCGAAATATCTCCAGCTATGCATTTGCTAAATAAAAAAAGCATTTCGTCAAGGGGCACAGGAACACGATAGTTGTGTGGCAGATTGAGCAGTTTGGGCTTCTTAGGTCAAGGGCGGGTTGTATAAGCCCATTGGGCTAAGAAACTGTTTCCTCTTTACCTAAAAGGAAGGGCCAAACCATACGAAGCTGAAGCTCGGTGAGGATGGGGCCAGAGGCCCAGAAGAGAAAAGAAAACTGAACCCGTGGCTCGACGCACACAAAGTACAAACCCCATCAAATCCTTGTCCAGGCACTCGTGATAAATGTTGGGTCAAAACATTGACAATGAGCGCAAATAGATGGTGGTAGTGCATATTTTTCAACTATGAGGAGAGAACTTCCATTCTCACAAATACCACTTATTGCTTTTCAACAAAATGGCTTAGAAAGGGCGGCCAAAGGTGGCCAGTGAGTGGCGGCGGTGCCCAGTGAAAGAGTTGGCCGGCCTGAGGGTCTCGAGAGGTGGCCGGTCGGGATCGGGCAGGACCAATAAAGATCATGTGGCAAATTATCCAACATTTAGTACCATGCTCCTTGGGAAACCTCCATGGTTTAATTTCTTATATTATTAGACAGCATCCTCACGAAACCAACAAGCGTCCAAATCGTCCTCGAATGAGGAAAACTTGGACCGCTCACTACTTACAAGGCAGCATCGTATGAAACAAGCCACTTCTGGATCTCCATGGTTTTGGAATTATTTGGCTATTTTAGCCGGAGGGAGGATGGACGTTGCACTCGAAATCATGCCAGAAAAGGATACATAAATTGTGGCCAAGAATCTCTCAGAGTTATAAAAATAAAATAAAAACCAGTGAGATATTAGTGGTCGATCCAGCTTTAGAAGAACCCAATATATATTATCTATCTATCCGTAATTCTTGAACCCAATAGATGTGAAAGATGAACTGCAATAGGTCATGTTGGACAAGTGAGGTCTAGAAAGCTTCTCACAGGCTAACAACAACTTAGAGTTTGACAACCTGTTCATCTAAAGAAAGTTTTGGGGCATGTGGTCCTACCGCCCCTACCTACATAAATTGGAGGGCTCATGCGATTATGCTTGGTCAGTTCCTGACCACACCAAAACCAATTCATCATGTAAGGCATGTTATTCTGAAAAGAGTGGCCTTTTCTTCTGCATTTTCGATCGATATGTCAATTTCTATATGAATATGATATAGTAAGAATTGAAGAGAAAATTACTCCACAAGAATAGTTAAATCCTATATAAATTTGAAAGCAACAAGCTTGATGTGAAAACTGATGATATCCCATTGAGTTGACAACTGCTGAACCCAAGATGTATCATTCACCCACCCTCCCTTATGTCACTTAAGCAAGGGCCTTGGGTGGTTGCAATGTCATCTTTCTAGTGCATATTTGATGTTATGTGGTCCAAAACTACAAATTAAAGACGTCATGATAAGGCCAATGCTATGTTTATTCTTTTTTTGCCTTTTCTTTTCTTAAAGTCAGGAAGGGAGGGGGAAATTTTATCATATATACTATCAAAATACCATTAGGGTTCAAACTTTAGATCATTGACTTTTCCACAACTAGACCCGTTGGCAATGCAATGTGTGTTCTATTGTGAGGAAAAAGTATCACTCGTTTTTTCCCCTCTCATTTCATCAGGAGCAGAAAATTAATAAAATACTTTTTTTTTTCTTCATATTAACATAATATTTATTTGAAGCACAAGAAAGCTTTGTATTAAAAAAGAAAAAGCAAATAGGTGGTCTTATGTTTGAAATCTCACGACACTTTGATAGGGTTTAGTGTGTGTGAGAAACCCTCATCCCTTGATAGTTTAGACTATCGCTTATATTCAAGAATAATAATTTAAATTTATTAAAAGGTATCTACGTTTCCAACAATTAAAAAATACTATTTTGCAAGTAGTAGTACCCTAACCCCTGACCCTACCAAAAATATCTTAAATATCTGCTCTTAAAAAGAAAAAGTGAACAAATCCAAAATATCAAAGTCTGATTACGAGGATAAAAATGTAATTTGCGAGATGATTAAGAGGGATAAGAAGGTAAAACAAACAAGTAATGGGGAAGACGCATGTATTAATAACTTTTGTAGTTGAAACTGTCCCAGTAGAAGCACGTCTGACAGGTGACAGCTCCTCCCTCCTTAAACCAGAAATCTAAGTGCAGAGAGAGAGAGAGAGAGAGAAACAGAGAGAAAATATAAAGAAGAGAGAGAAAAGAAAGGAATCCCAACGACCCAGAGAGAAACTAGAAAGAGACAAAAAAAAATCGCCAGACAGGAGAAAGAAAGGGCTATGATTTGGGTTGCGGGAAGAACTGGGTTGTGATCCCCCACGCGCATTCCTTGCGCTTGTTACTTGTTACTCTCTCCCCCTCTCTCTCTGCACATAATTATCTTTTTCTTTCTCTTGTGATGACCCCAGTGTGATCCGATTCTCTCTCTCTCTCTCTCTCTCTCTCTCTCTCTCTTCACCCTTACAAAAGCTACAAAGTTGAATCATTGGCTGCATTTATCTTGGATCATAGTCTCTCTGCTATGTTGCGGAAAATGAGAATTTAGTGGAGCAACAAGAAGGGGAAGAAGAAGAAGAAGCTACTGCAGATATTGGGATGTCAAAAAGCTCTGCTTTTGGGTCGTTTACATCTTGGTACTCTCTCTCTCCTTCTCTCTGCATTTCCAAATTTTACAGATATATGCGTATGTTCGTACGTGTGATATGAGTGCATAAACGCATATACTGTTGGATTTGAAGTGTTTTTGGAATTTGGGTTATCGTCTACTTGAATTTTGTCATATGGGATTTTTGTTTATTGGCATGTTACATTGAAATAATTGGGTGTTGAAGCTTGAATGTGTTGTGTAGTTGTTGATAACCAGGTTCTTTTGTTCTCTGTGTTGTCTACTTGAATTTTCTTTTCTGTTTTTTCAAATAGTTTGAATCATTAACAGTTCAGTGCCTTTACTTGGAAGTACTTTGTCAACAAAACCATTTCCATGGGCCATGTTAGTTACTTATCCACCACAAAACCTTTTTCCCCAAATAGCAGAAATGAAGAATTTAATCCAACTTGTCTCGCAACCAGGATATCATCTTATCAAGAGTCATCATTTCTTCCTCATTGTGTTGCAACTAGGATATAGAGGTCTCATTAATTAGCCATTAATTCTGATTAGTGCAATCATGAAGTGCATTTCCGTTTATTACGTTTTTTTAATTTTAATTAGTTGTTAGTCAAACTACTGAGGAGAGGGAGGGGGATAGGCTGTACAAGATAGATAGTCACAAACAGAAGTCAGATGGTGGATAAATAGTGAGAGAACATAACAAGTTATCGGAAAACTTTTCCTTCAAATGGTAAAGAACAAAGATTTGGTTTGCCGGTTTCAATGCCTATGTAACAATTGCCGTAAAGTATGTCTTTACAAACCACTTCGCATTTTTCAGAGAAAAGGCAATCCTTTTCATAAATTGGTGGTCTTAAATTTAATTAGTACTGAATTATTACGTGAAATTCTTAGACAGAGCTTTGAAGTACTAGGTATGAAGTACATTGTGGAAATCCTTTATAAACTTTTTCGTGCTTAAATATGTAAAATCTGATTTGATGTAATTTCAGAAAAATAAATATGTTGATGCGAGGAGATCTTGATCCGAAGTCAATGCAAGCATACACTGGTTCTCTGAACGATGTTTTGAGGACAACTATGCTCAACCAGGAGGTTATGTTTAAAAAGCAGGTATTACGATATTATAAATCACAGGATAAAGTTGAGTCATGTACAGGCATAATTGATTGGTTTTTTTTTTTTTTTTTTTTTTTTTTTTTTTTTTTTTTTTTTCAATGAAAATGGTTAGTTAAGATATAAAAAAACTTTGTTTTGTTGGCCTTGACATTGATTGATGGTATGTAAGGTTTGAAAAACAGAATATGTATCAATTACACATGTAATCCTTATGCTGCTTAATTTTGGCAGATTAGAAACTTTGGCTTTTACTCTAAAGCAGGCTCCAATGTACAATGAGGAGAAAAAGTGCACAAAATAGGCTCCACTCTACTTAACTTTCTTGCTACTGATTTCTCTCCAGGTTCATGAACTCCATCATCTATATGGGATACAGAAGACACTGATGCAGAACGTTGGCAGGATGGAGTTTGGTAGATACAATTTCAGGAAGGCTAGTGCTGAGTCAACTCTGTTACCTTGCAGAAATTCTACACGAGATGAACCTATGGTAAGTGATCTTTGACTTCCTAAGCCTTAGGATGAATGGTTCTATGATAAAGAAGAATGGAAGATAGCCAGCTCCTCTTTTGCTTTTTTGTACTAATGTATTTGGTGGTCTTTTGGAACTGATAGACGCGGGTCTAATAAATAATATTTGGACCAAAATATGGTTTTTTCATTGTTACATGCTTACCAACTAATTTACTCTTAAGATCTATCTGCATTTGGTGTAGCCTGTGGCAGAGATAAAAGAAATATCTAGCCTCTATGAATGAGTCGATGAGCGACCTAGTTTCATTTCAGATTATTTGTAATTTGATAGTGTTAATGTGATGAGCTTGTGCTTGTGGTTGTCTTTCAAGTTGTATTAACACAATCTATATTTCAGGACTTCTTAGAAGGGTACAAAGGTGTATATGATAAGATTCAGCCGAGGACTCCTGATCTTAAACTTCCCTCGGATCAATGTGTAAGCTATATTGGTAAGAATCTCCTGAAGAATAATAATACAAGAGACCACTTGAAAGTAACTCTGGGACTTAGGAGTTCTCTTTGTTGTGATAATTTCACAGATCCAGCAGAGTTGACGCTTTCCCTGAGCATTCAAGAAGACAGTAGGAGAGAGGGAGGTACTAAGAGAACTTGGTTTGATGTAGAAACTCATTCCTGCTCACACCAAGTGATTGATTTAGAAGAATCAATTGAGAGGACATCAATCGAGGATTTGGAACACTCACCCTCTTTCAGCAGTGCTACTCCAATAAAAAACTTCGAGGCCAAGCACGATTCTGAAGTTTCTGTCCTTTTTGATCCTATCATCTCAATTTGTGGGAAGGAAAATCTATTGTTTCATGCTGCAGACAGTAACCTCCTTTCAGATTTCAGTGAGAGGAATCCTTTCAATCAAGGTATGGCTCATTTATCTGTGTAGAGCTATGTTTCATAGTCTGCATGAAGTTGAATTTCAGAACTTATAGTCTTGTGCATTTTGGACTTTGTGTTTGTCTCTTTTTCAGGACTAAAAAAGCGTTCTGGTGGTATCCCAATTAACAATTTGTCCACCACGAGGCAACATTTCAGTTCATGTGAAGCAGGGCTTCTGGACCTCAACAAAATTCAGCATGATGATTCATCTTGTGTGTCAAATGATCCTACAGTAGCCCATCCTTCAACAGCAAGTTCATCACATGCTTTTCATGGATTAGTTGGCAAGGTAGAGGAAGGCACTCCTTGTTTCGGAACTGGGAAAAAGAAAAATGATAATGACTCAAATATAGCTTCTGAAACGTTTCAAAAAGAAGATTCTGGAGATTTTGCTTCCACGAACTCCAAAAGAAAAAATGAGAGAACAGATTATTGGGGTGGGAATTCCAAAGTTGATGTCTTGAGAATAAGTGAAATGGGCCATGCAAGTTTGGAGGCTGCGTCTAGACCCAAGATAGACCTCCGTGAAGCAGTTTGTTGTCACAGTAATGACCCTGGTAAGGGACATGACGGGTTCATCATGGGACTCCTAGACAGTCAAACTCGTTCATGTGAAGCTGCTAAACAAGGAAACCATGAGAACAACAAAGCAGAAGACCCTATATTTTCACATTCTGATCTTAGTCAAAAAAGAGATCAAGATGGACATGGAAATATATCTTCTGCTTCATGTAAGCCGGGCTGCATTGGTGATAATGATTCCAGCAGCATAAAGACTATGCAATCTGAGGTTGAGGACAGAAACTCAAATCCCTTTTGTGTTGATCAATTTTCAGAAACACATGTAGGGTATCAAGTTTCAGAAACCTTAATGGTTGAACAGGACCAAAGATCTTCCAACAACAGTCAATTAACACACAAATGCCTCAACAAGGAAGGAGAATTAGCTGAACTGGATGTTTTGATCAAAGAGGCAGCCGAAGCACTTGTTGGAATCTCATTGGAGAACTCATCTGGTTATCAAGATTGTCCTTACAAAGTAGGGGTATCAAATAAGATGGAAATGAAGGAGAGTGAGCAACCACAGTATTCTTCTGATTCTTTTGAGTTAATCACACTAAAGCTAACAGAAAGCAGCGCGGATGAATATTGTGTGTCATCAAAGCCTTCTGAAGTAGATTACACGGATAGAAAGGATTTTGGTGTTAAGTTGAGAAGGGGAAGAAGATTGAAAGATTTTCAGAGGGACATACTTCCTGGTCTGGCATCTCTTTCCCGGCAAGAAATTCGTGAAGATATAAACATTATGGAGGCAGTTTTAAGATCAAGAGAGTACAAAAAATTAAGAGCCAAGGCGGCTGATGGTCAAAGCTGGTGTGCTCCTGTCAAAAACAAACGTTCACGACTAAACTATGTTCCACGGAGGAAAAAAACTTTATGAGAAGTTTTAAGTTGGGAATGACATAGATCTGAGCAAGTATTTGTTTGTAACCATTGGCTGCATATAACCTTAAGCTTATGTTCTGACTTTAGAATCATTTAGCTACTTTCTGATTCATGTACTGATCTTAATACTAGTATTGGTAACTGGATAAATGTTAACCCTAATCCCGCAGAGATACAAAATTAATGATTGTGAAGGTGAGTTTGCCAGTGTCATTTGAGTTCTCCATAACAATTGTTTTCATTATTTTATTTTTCTTCTATTTTTTGGGTGCTTCACGAGAACTGTATAATTCGTTCTGTTAGATTGCTGCAATCTGGAAGGGAAAGAAAAGGATTGTGTGCCTGATGAGTTCACCATAGCCTTAACAGGATAAATTGTGATGAAGCTTTTATTTTACAAGAGCCAAAGTTGGTTTTTAATTCGTATGGTTTCCCAAATGAAATGGGAATTCCATGATATGGATAAACAAAAGTTGTACTGATTGATCAAGAGCATAGACCAGAAAATTGACAGTCCGCTTTATACTTTGTAATGAACAGATTTTAGATACACTTTGGTGTGTACTTAGATTGGAATTAGATTGCATTAGAATTGAGAAGTTAAGGGGCTTGTAGTAAGTGGTTAAGAGCATTTACTCCTGCACCCGAGGTCCTACGTTTGATTTCCCCCTCTCCCAATATCATTTGTAAAATAAAATAAAAAAACAATTGAGAATATATCAAGAGCATATTAGAGCATATCCAAGGGAGATATCAAATACCAAATATCACATTTAAATTTGATGGCTGATGTGGCAATTTGACAGTTACACAGTTTTACACTCCACCTGATATGTCAAATAAATAATTATTGTGACAGTCAAATCATCTATATATATAAAGCAAAAGGCAGAGAATGGTGAAACGTTCAAAATACCAAAAAATATCATTGGTTAATGCAAACATTAAGAATTGAAATTATTAATTAAATTATGATAATATGGTAAATTCACACTTTTTCATATTAAAAAAATTAAAATTAAAAGAAAATTCAGATAATATATCCTCTTTTTATGGAACACAACTACCCATTATCTTTTTTAATTCTAAAATAAATTTTAACTTTTTTTTAAAAAAAGCCTATTGCAGGCTCAGAAGCGCTTGTAGAGAGGCTAGTTTAAGATAAAGAAGAAAATAATAATAAATGAAAGTAACAACAAGTTATTTTAAAAAAATAATAAAATATTCATTTGACATTTTGCTTTTGGGATGTCAAAAGTAACGGCTGAACCTCTAGCCTTCATTCCACATCAACTTTGACAATTCAGTTGGAGTGATGTGAGATGTAATTTCTAGCCATTAGATATTTGTGTGGCACTTTTGACACATCAATTGAAGATGCTCTTAGATTGTGAAATGTTTGATCTAGATTAGCAATATGGCAAAATTGCATGTCAAGTTTTGTTTCTTGTATGCCCTTCCAACTTCAAAAGTCTCAAAGACAAATCAAATCAAGAGAGCATGAATCGTTATTTTGAAATCTTTGATTCAACTCTATAGTTAGCTATCACTGTAGTGTTTGCTTACCGAACAGATAAGAAAGCAACGTATAACATACCGAACATAAAGTTTGGGACCTTTGCCCCAAAACCGTGGGCCTGGAACTTGAAACCCCAGGCCGAATTGATATTTCAAAATCTGAATCTGAAACATCGAAATCAATTACAAGATAACATCTTTTAAGAATCTGTCAAACATAGTATAATATGAAATTTATCTTATTCCATTTACCTAATCCAAATTAATTCAATTTAATTACAATCTAATCCAATCTAATTTAGAAACATCTGCTGCATCGTACGATTTCTTTGGCATGAAAATCCAAGGAAACTAATAAAAAATTGAATAAAGTGATGAGTGGAAGCAAAGCCACTAATTGCCACCCTTTGGGAACAAGCATGCTTCAATCATGAACACAAAAGAGAAATGCCAATAGGCCAAGCCCTGTTTAGTGATCAGTGAGAGAGACTGCTACGATGCCTCAATCATGTCAACTCTCCGAATCCTTATGCGTCTTCTTCCTTGGCTTGTACATGCCCCACACCAGCTTTATGTAATTTTGATGAGATAATGGCATTGAACTAAAAGATATTAGTATGTTAAATTCTCAATTTTTTTAATATTTTTAATGAGATTATGATTTTTAAATAGCTCTAGTATGGCACGGGACTTATAATTGTAACTCACATAGTTATGAGCATTTATCACGCACCGAGGTGTGTGTTGGATTTATTTTAATATTATCGCTTGTATCAAAAATAGTTCCAACATGCAAGTTCATTCGCCTTTGTTTTCTAGTACTTCACTCTCTCTCTCAATCAACCAATTAAGATTTTTCAGATATTGTATTGGTTAGTGCCTTAGTGGGTTGTGAAACTTAAGCCACCGTTGACTAAACGGTAGATATAATAGTATAATACAGTTGTTTATTTCAAAATATAAGCAGCCTTCATGAAGTGGATGATGAATAATTTATCCACTAAGCCACTGAAGCAACATAGTTTTGATCCATTGGTGGTTTCTGCCACCTTGGTCTTCAGGATCATGTTTAGCACTTTAGACCTCATCACAGCCTCACCTTGTTTTGGCACTGTTGAGGTTGTAAGAAAATTAATTTGGTAGGGTTTGGGATTGGCTCGTGAAGAAGGAATCAGGCGTCTGTGTTTCAATGAACCCAGGATTGGATTTCAAAATTCATGAGGCTGCTCAAAGTAGTTTGAAACATGCCCATCACCTGTTTGGTTGTGTATCTGAGAATAAACAAAAGAGAAGTGTTCAAGAAGTAAGCTTGATTGCTCAAGATGCAGTGGAAGAATTCAGAAAACTACTTGCTCTCCTTGATGGATCATTGTTATCAAACCAGAAGAGGATCAGAAGAGGTCCTTTGCCAAAATCCCATGACATAAACCAGGTTGAACTGTTGGACTCTCCTAACCCTTCATCCCAAAATACTACACACAATTGGCCTCAGCCTCATACCCTGCCCCAGCCTCGGAATTGCTTGGTTAGACAGTTTTTTAGTGCTGTTCATCAAAGTGATCAAGCAACTGCAAATGTGATCCACAGTAATAGCTTTAGCATGGCTAGAGAGAAAAAACCAAACCCGGCATTGCAGCAAGGGCAATCTGAAGCCGGTGTGGTTCTTCCTAATAATTTAATCATGGGGTTGAACCAATTCTCACAAAAGCCTACTAGCACTTCTTTGATCAGTATGGATGGAAGTAGCCTTAACACGCGGATGATTCACTATTCGTCATCTGAACTCTTGGCTTCTCGAGATTGTACCTCTATGTTTTCTTCCAAAAGGAAGTGTGGGGTGAAAAGTGAAGAAGCCACTCCAAGATGCCTAGTCTCTGCTGGTGGATGCCATTGCTCAAAGCGAAGGTATTGAAATCCTGATTAAAATGCAGTTTTTTATGTCACTACATTTTGTTGGTTTACACAATATTTATGATTGGATTTCTGATTTTCTATCTTCTTGTTTCCTGCTAACGGTTTTTAATTTCTTGTATTTGTTCATCTCCTAACAGGAAACTTAGAATAAAGAGAAGAATCCGAGTTCCGGCTTTAAGCAATAAGCTAGCTGATATACCTCCTGATGACTATACCTGGAGGAAGTATGGGCAGAAACCTATTAAAGGGTCTCCATATCCTAGGTATGTCTATGTTATTTTATTTTTGCCTTTCCATAATGATTTCAAATCTTAAGGTCTAGATTGTTTAATACGTATATTTTCTCTTCTGTTTCATACATTTTGGCTTATTCATCATACACAAACAATCCATAGCTTATGGCAGAGATGAAAGTTAGTCCATAATTCCATGAAATGAATGAGTCCTTACTTGGCTGGAGAAAGAGAGGAAAATGAATTAATTATTTCAACAAAGTCACTTCCCTTAGTTTGATATGCTTCTTATAGATTATTACTCTAACACTGTCCTTGGATATAGAATTTGCAACAATATATTAGATGATGGCCATGAGCTTTATATGTGCCCTTCTTGAATGTTATATATATGCTTAGCCATTTCCAAGCTTAGCTGATAAGTCTGTCCATGGTGCTTTGCCATCAAAGGAGTTATTACAAATGCAGCAGTGTGAGGGGATGCCCTGCAAGAAAACATGTCGAACGGTGCTTGGAAGATCCTACCATGTTGGTTGTTACATATGAAGGCGACCATCAACACCCCAAGATTACATTTCAAGCACCTACAGTTGCGATTTAAGTTAACCGGTATAATAAATCCAACGGATGCCAACATTTCAGAGCTTGAACTGGTTTTGCAGTGTAAGTTTCTCCTGTCCTAAAAACTGTTAAAATTGTAACTTGTAAGTGTAAACTAGTCCTCTGTTGTTCCCCCCTTTTTTTCTCTCTTAATTTCCTAGTTTGTCCTGCTTCTGGTATGTAATTGAGTCTTCAATAATGCTTTTGTCAGATCATTGTATACATTCTCTTTAATGATATAAGCATCATAAAAGGGGTTCATATCTGAACTGTGTCAGGTGCCATTCTTGCTTGTCATTGACAACCTGCATAGGAGCCCTTATACTATCAGTCTCCACCCTACACTCAGGCGAAGTTACAATTACATGTCTTATTGTTGTGAAGAAATTATGCTATCCAACTTCATCACATCAAGTTAAATCAAAGTTGTAACACGAAAACCAAGTTTAATCACGGAAGATGTACACAAAGAAACCAGATACTCTTACAGATTATTCGATAAATACTAGACCTTAAGAGTTTCATCGGTTAGGAAATAAGTCAACAATGTATGTCATACTAACATAAATCACTTGTTTCCAGAGTTTACTGTACGTTTTCTAATACTTTTCTTTATAACCTTAACTTTGTTGATGCCAGAACTTGGCCAATGAAAATTGCCAATGTGGGAGTGCTCTGCCAGTCTGCATAGGAGCCCTTTACCAAAAAATGGTGAATGACGCATGCTATTCAACTATTATGAATTAATTTAAAACTAATTCACATTTTTGACAAGAGATTTTCTATTTAAACCCTACACTTCTCTTAGTTCACCCTATGTTCTAAGTTCACCCCAACTTTTGATTTAAATTTTCACAATTTCTAAGAAAACCCCACTATCTTCCTAAACTACCCTTAAATACACCCCAAACTGGAAAAAATAAGAAATAAAAGAAAATTTCTATTTAAACCCCACAGGCTACCCTTAGAGGAGGAAGTACGTTTTGCAAGCTCTAATGCTAATTGCTAGACATTTTATCATTTTCTCTCTTGAGTATTTAATAATGACAATGAGGTATTCAATTTTCATTGGCATTCGAAATCAACAACTCTTTTGAATCTCAGTGATGAAAATCTTGAGCATATGTATGGGGTCCTTCTCCTTCCTTAGGATATTTCATGAAGTATGAAACATGCGATGGTGTAAGTAGCTGCTAATTTGGTACGAACATTTCTTGCGAGAGGAGATAAAATTGGTACTTGAGGTTGCTACACTTTGCACTAGGAGTAGGCCATCTGATCAGCCATCGATGAAGAATACACTGAAGCTTTTATCAGAGTGGAGAAGCAACAAGAAAAATAACCCAACTATTGAAGCAACAACAGCAGGATTATGATTTTAGATGCATACTGGAATTCCAGAAGTGACAATAATATTACTGTTCCCAGCAAAAAAAAACACAAACAAATGGAACCCCAAATCCGAAATTTAATACTTTTTAAAGAAAGAGAACAACTTTATCAAAACATCAGGTATAAAAAAAACAAAAACAAAAACAAAAACAAAAGCAATCAACAGCCAATCAATCAACAAAGGGAAGAGAATAAGATTATTACAGCCAAACAATCAACAAGTCTTTCCATCAGCTCCCACGCAGACTTTAAAGAGGCATGCTCATCAATGTTCTACGTCTCTGGCAATACGATGTAGAGTAGTTTGTATTTTTCTAAAACTTAATATGAAGAGTGGTGGGGTGTGTGGGGTGTGTGTATAGATGTACTAGGGTTAAGTATTAAGTTGGATGACATTTTTTGTCTTTTTACACAATAATAATACTTACAGCTTAATGATTTAAGTATTGGGATGAACTAAGAGAAGTGTGGGGTTTAAATAGAAAATCTCTTTTGACAATTGAGAAACAAAGTTACCACCAATGGTAATTCAATCCAAAAGATCAAAGCTATTTGAAATAGTTCTTTTCCAAAATTCATAGTTTCTTAGCTGTTGAGGTTTGTCGAGTTAATTTCTTCACCGTTGGTGGCTAAACTCCAAGGAGAATTGATGACCTTAAAAGCTAGGAAGTAAAAGTTAGACTTGCTTTAGTTGAGAATCACGGCTATTTATTACATTGATCGCCAAAAAAATTTCTACTGCCAGGGTATGTGAATATTTATGGTATCAACATTGGCAGAATCTGGGCATTATTGTTCACTTCATTTTAGTTGTTGCAAGGAACGATCATGAAACATTCAGGAACATTGATGAGCAGGGTGCCAAAAAATGACCAATGCTTTGACTGACAAAACTTTTGCCACTTGTGCATTAAATGAAGATTAGTCCAAAACAAAAAATATCCAGATTTCTTCCACATCATTTTTATCCTATAAATACAAGAGTGTCTGGACTAGAGAAGAGACACCCAACCAACCAACTAATCAAGCAAAAACTCAACAATCAATCCAGATTGATCAAAAGAAATCAAAGATCATACAATCTTACAACTACCAAAAGTAGGCAAGCAATTTTCCTTAAGAAGCAATCCAGCTCAAAAAGAAGTTCAGAAAACGAAGAAGAAATTAAGATTTCCTTCACAATCCAGATAAGGTAAATCAGACAAAATTCAATATAGATTAATTCCTCTTACAAATTTGGTTCAACAAATTAGGTAAAACAAGAAGAAGTCAAGTATTTCATCATATGAAATCTTCAACAAGCTTTTCAAATACATCTTAATGTCTTAAAATTGTCTAGATAGCTTCTAGATTAATCAGAATCAACCAAAACAGGTACTCATCTGCAGTTCTGATCACTTTCACTGCCTCTTCAAGGCTCAACTTGTTTATAGCTCTGTCAACTTCAAACTTGGTATCGATTTCTAGCTAATCTCCATTAGTTGAAGGTGTCAACGTGCAATTCCAGTGCAGAAACATTCATTCCAATCAACAAAAGTTCAATCTAGCCTCATCATAAGCCATCATTGCGACAATGTTTTCAAATAGAAGTCAAAGTCCAACACCTCTGAGAACTACATAGATTTAGATATTCATTTGGTGCCTTGTGCTTCAGGCAGTTCTGCTTGGATTAGTTGTTATATTCTCCATAAATTCATATATTTTGCTTTGCTTACTAGTTTTGTCTAGATAAATTGTGAAGTCCTCACCAATCTGAGGGTTTAGGCATAGAAAAGAAACTCTCTTGGGAGGTTTCCCCACTCAAAATCACAATCGTTTGTTTAAAGTCTATTACTTGGGGCACAAATATATAAAGTCATTCAAATCTGTTAGGGTATTATCTGCTAATAGTGGCATGCTCACATAAAATAAAGTTAATCCAAGAAACCATTAAGTGGTTAAAAGATTAATGTGGAATTTTACTTAGTCTTCAACATATTTAAATATAAAAAGGGTAAACAAAGCAATATTAAAGAAGAGAATAATCGAATTTAAGACCTGAGGTGCAAAGTAAATACTCTTAACTACTTGAAGTACAAGGCCTTTGCATATTTAAGCTGGGGAAAAAGAATGAAGGGCAACATAATAATGCAAGATAGGCAATGGACTTTCCTCATTACAAGTCCTAGATGGCCCAAGTGGGGCTCCAATGGGCTCAAAACTTAAGGGCCAGCCAGAATGTGTGCCCGACCATGACCAACTCTACGGAGCAAGTTTGAGCCTCCACCAAGTTAATAAGATTGTTTCACTGAATTAACAAATATGCTAAGTTATATTACATAGTTATGTACCTAGCTCAAGCTTCGGCCCTCCGAATCCGATCTGGTACAGTCAAATCTCCCACATATGTTTTGTAAACAATTCTAAAGACACACCAATTTGTCTGAAGTGAAGCTTTTCTGCCTGGATTTACCTACCATTTTGCCATCATTGAAGATAAGCAAAAACTAAGATAGACATTCCAAGATATCACAGCCTTGACACTTGAGATACGTCTGAGACGTAAGACAAACCATCATTCAAGCACACCAAACACCATGTGTTTTGATTTTATCTTTTAGTTTCAATATAAGTTTCATGGATATCACTCGTATAGACTCATCTTTTAAGGGTTTTGAGTTTAGGGTTTTTCTCTGCTACAAGTGGGATTTGATTACAATTTCTAGACATTGGATGCTCTCTTTTTCCCCCTTTTTTTCTAAAAAAATTTGTTCATCATCTTTTGTAAGATATAGGATTTAAATCTTTCAATGCAATTGTGTAGATCCTTTTATCATTATATCCTACATTGAATCATTAAGGTCCTTTAAGAACAATTTTTTTTTTTTTTTTTTTTTTTTTCCTCCCCCCCAGTGTGCTCCAACGCTTATTGAATGATGGGTGTAGAATGTAAGATTGATGCATAAGTGGGTGATGAGTACCAGCAGCAGAAGGTGTAATATAAAGTTGGGCACCATCCTATGTTATTTACTCTCAACCATTAGTGATGCTTGCTCAAGTGGTAGGCCCAAATAGCAGTCCTTGATCCATAATAAGCTTAGCCGCATGAAAAACTCCAATTATGGTTCATGTAAAAAAGATATTTCAAAGTAATTTCAGAAGAAAAATATATTATTTGTTTTAGGAAAGCCAACATGATTGTCCCTTGAAACTGCATGCCCTTTTTCTTCCTGATCATGATCACAGGCAGAGACTATGATTAATTTGTAGTCTTGGATAAATGTATAAAGAGTCTAAGTTCACATAAGAGGGAATGATTCCACTTAGGGGAAAAGTGACTTAGAACTAAGTTGAAGATTTGTACATATCAAACCAACTACTTAGACCATATATCAATGGTTGAGATACATCATTTTTCGTTCTACATCTATGCACGTCATATAATTTTATATGATTTGGTGGTAGATATGCACAAATTTTCAACTTAAATTCATATTAAAATATTAGGGAGTTTCACTAAAACACCAAAAATAAGGGTTGAAATTATAAAAAAACTCAACACCCAAAGCACTTTATAAACACACCCAAAACTCATCATTACACACACTCAAAACTCATTTATAAACACAC